GTTTTGGAACGCAGTCTCACGATCAACAGACCATGCAAAATCGGTGGTGTTACGAAGCAGATTAGTAAGGGGCAACACAACATCAGAAAAGATGACAAAAGCTACGGTAGTAGCCGGACATCCCCAGGAACCGGCGCATCTCACGCTTTGTTTTGGGAGTCGGGAAATCAACAATGGCCTCAATCTTGGCCTCCACAGGGCGGACCTGACCTTGGCCAACTTGTTTTACTAAGTATGTTACGGTGGCTTTTCCAAATTGACACTTAGCCAAGTTGAAGGTCAGTGAGGCATCACGGAGCCGATGGAAAACAATGCGGATCAGCTCGAGGCGACTGGTCCAAGAGGATGAGTGTAGGACTGTGTCGTCTAGATACACCTCACAGTTCTGCAGGCCAACTAAAACCTTACTCATCAGGCGCTGGAAACTGGCTGGAGCGTTGCGAAGTCCACAAGCCATGTCTGAGTACTGCATGAAGCAGTCAGGGGTAACAAATGCAGAAATTTCAGCAGCACGGTGGGTCAAGGGGACTTGCCAATATCCCTTTAGCAAGTTCAAGCTTGGTGACAAAACGGGCTGAGCCCACTCGGTCCACGCAGTCCTCCATGCAAGGGAGTGGAAACGAGTCAGGCTTGGTCACAGCATTGACCTTACGGTTCTCAGTACAGAAACAAATTGTTCCATCAGGCTTTGGAACTAAGATGCAAGGGGAGATCAAGGCACTGGAACTCGGTTCAGCTAACCCGTGATCCACCAAGTACTGCACGGCCGAACTCATAGCAGCTCTTTTTGTCGGATTAAGCCGATAAGCATGCTGCTTGATGGACTTATGGTCACCCACATCAATGTCGTGAGTAAGGACATTAGTCTGCGATGGAACATTTGAAAACAACTCAGGAAAAAACTCTATCAACCCCCGGACATCATTAGCGTGAGAATCCGACAAGTGGGCAAGAATATTAGGCAAATCCTTAAACATTTCAGAGTTCTAAAGACCAGGACAAGAAACCGAGACGTCACAAAAACTCAGGCCGTCCTCCTCTGGAGAATAGGGGGAGACCATAGGAGTTGCAGAAACCGCAAGCACAGGGCACACACTCATAGGCATACGGCTTCAACATATTAATGTGACACACGCAAGTCTTACGACGTCTGTCTGGCGTACCAATAGCATAGTCAGTGTCACTAATCTGGAACTCTACCTCATAAGGCCCCGAAAACTTAGCCTGGAGGGCGGACCCAAGAACAGGCAACAACACCAAGACTAAGTCACCTTCCTGAAATGAGCGGTGAACAGACTCAGGTCATAACGAGTCTTCATCGTCGACTGAGCGGACAATAGAGCTTCCTGAGCACAAGCAAAAGCCTTGTGCAAGCGTTCACGAAATGCACCGACTTAGTCCAGCACGTTGTCTTGTGGTTCAGTGGTCTCTGCGCCCCACCTCTCACGCAACAACTTCAACGATCAAATCCGCTGGGCTGAACCCCAGTGACTCTTGAGTCGTTTCACGCACTGCGAACAAAAGCAGTGGGAGACCATCATCCCACTCTCGAGCAGAATCAAAACAGTAAGTGCGAAACATCTGATGGAAACTCCAGCTTGCGTGACTCGAACTGGCGTTCCTCGCGCTCCCTCTGATAACCTCTTTGTCTGTCCTTTTCAACCGCTTCATATTCCAGTTTTCTCAAGTCAAAATCGACCTCCAATTTCTTAATTTCAATTTCTTTCGCAATCTCCCTCTCTTTGACACTTCGATTTTCTCTCTCAACCCTTAACTTTATTGATCCCTCAAGAGGGATATTTTGGTATGCTGCTGTGATACCAAAATTTCCCTCTTGAGGGATCAATAAAGTATCTATCTATCTATCTAATTTAGCCGTTTCCTATTGCAGTCTACACTCCTGGAATTTATATTCCCAAAGTTTGGGTTCCTGTTCCGATGAACTGCTAGCCGCTGACAACTCAGAAGCAGGATGAAAAACAGAACTTCCTCCTCTCCCTCAGAAAGGAACTCCCTATCTACTAGGCCTGCAAAAACGTCCTTGAACAAAGTCTCCTTACGCTTCTTATCATCTGCTGTAAGGCTAATGTCGTAATACTCAATACCAACTGGTCCTTAGTGCAACTCTGCTAAAGAACTTCGGAAGGACTCTCAATAAACTCATCAACCACAGACATCCTTCTTATCCGGGTGTCTGCTGTGACGTTTGCGGTACCCTGGGTTTGGAACCCTCATGTGTGATCATGTGTGTGTGTGTGGTACACGTGTGCTCGGGGTGTCTCCTCCTTTGGGATCCTCACCTGTACTGAGCCTCCTGGCCACTCGTAAGCCGCAGCCCTACACCTCTCTTAATTAATGCACATGGCTCGTTTGTTAGTGTTTTACATGTCATTTGTAAAGACTGTTTCGAGTGTTTTTGAAGTGGAAACTCGTCTCATGTTGTTCTGTAGAAACAATTCTGTGTCTTCTTGGGAAATACTGCGTGGGGAAGACTTAATCCTTGGGTGGAATTCCCAAGGTGGCGTTGCTGATACCTCACAATTTGGTACCACTTCAAATGAATTAAAGACCGGATCCCCTCCTCCTCTTTAATCGCCACAGTGAGCGTATAAATACAGAATCTGATCCGGAGGCGGGGTCCTGCGGGGTCACATCGTAGAATAGTGACAGATTAAAGGCTGTGGCAAACCAGGGGGAGGAACAAAGCACTTGGGGCGGAGCCCCAAGCTCCGGTTGGGGGAGGTGATAAGGGGGATTTATTATCCTGTGCAGGTGCTCCAGCCACTGGGAACGTGGCACTGGTCACACCTGCGGCCTATCTGGTAATCAGAGCAGACCCTAGATAAGGAGAGGAGAAGAGACCGGACGGGGGCAGACGTCGGAGAGGAGGTAACCCCCAGGACTCACCGCTCTACTCTACTCTGCTCCTAACAGGACAAGGAAGCGGGCGCCACGTAGGAGGAGACGCCACATATTTCAGTTTGGAAGCCGGTTGGAAGAGCCGTAGTTTTTGACCTTTGTTATTAAAAGGACCCTTTTTGTTTGCATTTGCTGTCTGAGTTTCTTATTTTACGCCCGAATCTGGCCTCACTCCCCCTGGGTTACCACATTTTGGTGGAGAATGCGGGCGTGACGGTCTGTCGCTAAAGATTCAGGCTAAAATAGGTACTCCGAGAGAGACACGGAGAACCATGGAGAATGCACTGACACAGCTCATCCAGACCCAAACCCAGCAGGCCCAGAGTCTTCAAGCCTTACAGGACGCCATCACTACTCTTGGACAGCATCTGGTAAAGCCAGAGAGGCCTACGGAACCCAGTAAAGTTCTCACCAAGCAGACCGGTGAGGATGACATTGAGGCCTACCTAGAGGTTTTTGAAAGGACTGCAGAGAGGGAACGTTGGCCTAGAGCACAATGGGCAGGAATTCTAGCCCCTTTTTTAATTGGCGAAGCTCAAAAAGCCTGCCGGGACCTTTCCCCCGCTGACGTAAACCAGTATGGGGCATTGAAAGCTGCGATTTTGGCCCATTATGGACACAACCTGCAGACGAGGGCCCAACAGTTCCACGCCTGGGAGTATGACGCTACTGCCCCAGTGCGGCCGCAAATTGCAACGCTGATGCGATTGACACGCAGTTGGTTAACCTCGGGGGAGGGGCCTCCAGCGATTGACAGAGTTGCCATGGATCGCTGTATCAGAGCCTTACCCGGGGGTGCCAAACGACACGCTTCTCAAAGCTGCCCAGAGACAGTAGATGCCCTAGTGACGCTGTTGGAGAATCACCAGGTCACGGTACAGTTGATGCAAAGCAGTAGGCCACCCAGCCAATCGGACCCCAGGAGAGACAGGCAGAGGCTGAGGAAGAGCGACATGGAGGCACTGGGCCCAAGCCCGAGGCCCCAAGGGGGTCCGCCCCAGCCATCCCTCCAGCGCCGCCCCTTTGTGAATCCGGACCGGCGAAAATGCTTTGCCTGTGGACAAGAGGGCCATATAGCGTGGAATTGTCCGGGAGAAGACATTCTGATGCCTACGGCGGGCTCCTCCGACTCCCCACGGAAGGCCGACAGCTATCTTACCACGTGCTGGGCTCATGAGGGCGCAAGGGCCCCAAAGCTGCCGGTCAGAATAGGGACCCAGGATGCTGAAGCCCTACTCGACTCCGGCAGTGCGGTCACCCTCCTACGGCCCGGGTTGACCTCTGGCCCCAGGGGACCCCCTATCCCAGTCTCCTGTGTCCACGGGGATTCACGAGAGTATCCCACGACCCACATTAAGGTCCAGACCACCAGGGGCACATTTGAGGTTGTTGCGGGCTTAGTGGAAAATCTGCCGGTACCAGTGCTGATTGGGCGGGACTGCCCGATATTCTGGCGTTTGTGGGCATGCAGGACTGCTGGCCACCGAAGAAACTGTCCCACCAAGAAACCTGGTAGGGACCAGAAAGTCAAGGTGGCACATGCCTGTGCAGCCCCATCTAGCCCAACCACGTCATCTGCAGAAGGGACAGAGGAGGAGGCCCTGGCCCCAGCGGAGGCCCTGGCCCCAGCGGAGGCCCCGGCCCCAGCGGAGGCCCCGGCCCCAGCGGAGGCCCCGACAAGGAGGGATCCCCGACTAACTGAAGGGTCTTCGAACGAGGCTTTTTCGGAGTTCCCACTGGCAGAAGAGGCATCTTCCACCAGGCCCGGGCAGTTTGGGACGGCCCAGTGGGAGGACCCTAACCTGGAACAAGCGCGACAGAACCTGGCTGTGGTCGAGGGAGAACCGGTGGCGGGGGTAAGTGCTAGCACCTTTCCACACTTTTCAATCAAGAATGGCCTCTTGTATAGGGTGGCAAAGCTGGAGGAACGGGTGGTGGAACAGTTGCTAGTCCCCAAGCGCTATATTAACAAAGTGTTGTACCTAGCCCACTCCCACCTGTTGGGAGCTCATTTGGGGGTGGAGAAAACCTACGACCGAGTCCGGGAGCGCTTCTACTGGCCGGGGGTGAAGAAAGCGGTCCAGGATTATTGCCAAATCTGCCCACAATGCCAGAAGACGGCGCCGAAGGTAAACTACCAGAATCCACTAATACCACTACCAATAATCGACATCCCATTCCAGAGGGTGGCCATGGATATAGTAGGCCCCTTGCCGAAGTCCAGTAGGGGGCACCGGTTTATCCTGGTTATCATGGATTATGCCACCCGGTACCCAGAGGCGGTCCCGTTACGCACCGCAAGTGCTAAAGCGGTGGCGAGAGAATTATTCCTTCTCTTTAGTAGAGTTGGGATTGCAAAGGAAGTCCTTACTGACCAGGGAACCTGTTTCATGTCTCGGGTGATGAAGGAGATGTGTAAACTGCTGAAGGTGAGCCAAATACGAACCTCTGTCTACCACCCACAGACGGACGGCCTGGTAGAACGTTTCAATAAAACCTTAAAACAAATGCTAAGGAAGGCTATTGACGTGGAGGGGAAAAACTGGGACCAACTAATCCCCTTTGTCTTGTTCTCAATCCGCGAAGTGCCCCAGGCGTCCACAGGGTTCTCACCATTTGAGCTGCTGTATGGACGGAGACCCAGGGGCATGCTGGACCTGGCCAAAGAAGCATGGGAGCAACAGCCATCAGCCCATCGCTCCGCCATAGAGTATGTCGACCAGATGCAGGACAGGATGGCTAAGGTATGGCCCCTGGTGCGGGAGCATATGCAACAAGCCCAACACGCCCAAGCCAGAATCTATAACCGTAGAGCTCAGCTACGGGAGTTCCAGCCGGGAGAGTTTGTCTTGGTCCTGATTCCAACGGTGGAATGCAAATTCCTGGCAAAGTGGCATGGACCCTATGAGGTGATCGAAAGGGTGGGGGAGGTGAATTATAAGGTAAGACAACCGGGAAGGAGGAAAATCTGCCAAATATATCACATTAATCTGTTGAAGAGATGGCACGCCCCTGACAGTGTTCCGATGGCCGCACTAACCACCGAAACCCAAGATCGTGTCCCCTCACAGGTACCTCTGGGCCCCCATCTGAGTCCGACCCACCGGCAAGACATGGTGGAACTAACTGGGCAGTTCAAAGATGTTTTTTCAGACATGCCGGGAAGGACCACGGTGATTAACCACGACATCATCACCGAACCTGGGAAAAAGGTGAGGCTCCGACCCTACCGCATACCAGAGGCAAAAAGGGAGACCATCAAAGAAGAGGTGAGAAGGATGTTGGAGATGGGCGTTATTGAGGAGTCACACAGTGCATGGTCCAGCCCGATTGTGTTGACTCCAAAACCCGACGGCAGCGAGAGATTCTGCAATGATTTTAGAAAATTGAACGAAATCTCAAAATTTGACGCTTACCCCATGCCGAGGGTTGATGAGTTAATAGAGCGATTAGGCCCAGCCCGGTTTGTGTCCACGCTCGACCTCACTAAAAGATTACTAGCAGGTTCCCCTCACAGAAACCGCCAAAGAGAAGACAGCGTTTGCTACCCCAGAAGGCCTGTACCACTATAGAGTCCTGCCCTTCGGAGTCCACGGAGCGCCAGCTACGTTCCAAAGAATGATGGACCAGGTGCTCCGACCTCATCGGGAGTATGCAGCGGCCTACCTAGATGATGTGGTCATACACAGCCCCGACTGGACCACCCATGTAGGCCACCTGAAAGCTGTCCTGGGAAGCCTACGGAGAGCTGGCCTGACCGCCAACCCAAAAAAGTGCCACCTTGGCCTGGAGGAGGCGGAATACCTCGGCTACACCATTGGGAGAGGCAGTGTGAGACCCCAATCCCGGAAAGTGGAGGCCATTGCCACCTGGCCTAAGCCAGCCACGAAGCGGCAAGTAAAAACGTTCCTCGGCCTGGTCGGCTATTATCAGTGCTTTATACCCCACTTTGCTACTATTGCAGCCCCTTTACACGAGATGACGAAAAACAGCCACCCACACCAGGTCCTCTGGAGCACCGAAGCTGAGGCAGCCTTTACAACCCTTCGGAGGGCCCTGTGCACCGAGCCAATTTTAAGCACCCCTAATTTTGAGGACACGTTCATCGTCCATACAGATGCCTCTGGATCAGGGCTTGGAGCCGTGCTGTCCCAGGTCAGAGGAGAAGAACACCCAGTGACCTATATCAGCCGTAAGTTGCTAAAGCATGAGATCAATTATTCAACGTTGGAGAAAGAATGTTTGGCAATAAAATGGGCCCTGACAAAGCTGCGGTATTACCTCCTGGGCAGAAAATTCACCCTGGTAACGGATCACGCACCACTGAGATGGATGTCTACAGCCAAAGACACTAATGCACGAGTTACACGGTGGTTCCTCGAACTACAAAACTTTAATTTTTCTGCTATCTCGTTGACGCTCCTAGCCCCAACCTGGAGCTGGTGGAGGGGGTGTGTGGCAAACCAGGGGGAGGAACAAAGCACTTGGGGCGGAGCCCCAAGCTCCGGTTGGGGGAGGTGATAAGGGGGATTTATTATCCTGTGCAGGTGCTCCAGCCACTGGGAACGTGGCACTGGTCACACCTGCGGCCTATCTGGTAATCAGAGCAGACCCTAGATAAGGAGAGGAGAAGAGACCGGACGGGAGCAGACGTCGGAGAGGAGGTAACCCCCAGGACTCACCGCTCTACTCTACTCTGCTCCTAACAGGACAAGGAAGCGGGCGCCACGTAGGAGGAGACGCCACATATTTCAGTTTGGAAGCCGGTTGGAAGAGCCGTAGTTTTTGACCTTTGTTATTAAAAGGACCCTTTTGTTTGCATTTGCTGTCTGAGTTTCTTATTTTACGCCCGAATCTGGCCTCACTCCCCTGGGTTACCACAAGGCGTTAAAGCAGTTTAGCCGTTGGCTTGAATCCATTGTTCTCAGCTAAGCCTGAGGAAGCATCCGGCCGTGGCCGTGTCTCAATTCCCCAGGCTGCATCCTTTGGAACGCATCCGTCGACCCCACGCGCGTCACTTCGGCTGCGACTCGGCTGTCCAGTTCCGTCGGCTCCTCCGAACGCGGTCGAGGGACGCAGTCCTCCAGGAGCCGGTCTGGAGGACACATCTGACCCGTCCTTTGCGGCGCAGCATATCCCAGCATGCAGTGCGGTACCATGAGGATTTCATTTATTCAGGACAGGGACAGGTGAGGAAAAGTTCACTACTAAATGTAACGTTAAGTAATATAATTAACTCGAGTATCTAGTATCTGTTCCCAACACCCAGCCACCCCAGTCGCAGCCGCCCCAGTTTACAACACGGATTCCATCTACAAGTACAGAAGAACAGCAGGTAGAGACCACTGAGAAGGCGGATTCTCTATTCCAAGGAATATTACACTGTGGACTGGATGAGATGGTGATCAGTATTTCTTAAAAGCAGTTTATTGCATTACAATTAAATCACACACACAACCAGGTATAATTAAAGCACTACGAATATTTAGCTGCACGCCACTGCTTCTGATATTTTAAGTCAAGTTTATGTATAAAACACATTTCAGCAACAATGAAATTCAAAGTTTTCTACCAATGCAATTCACAATAAAAGAACATTTAAAATAAAAGACCTCAGATATTAACTTGTGGTACTGAAGGGAAATATGTCCACTTGTTCCCGTCTCCGTCCAGGTGAGTCTCCCTCTGGTTTGACTGCATCTGAAGAAGATCACATGAAGTTATTCCTCAGAAATGGAAGCAGGAAGTTGTTTTGAGTTGCAGCAGACTGACACCTGGCTGACCTTCACACCTGGTCCTCCTGCTCCTCTGGGTCTTCTCTCTGTGCTGCCATGTCTGAGAGGTTCTCATACTCAGGATGAAGGTCCATCTGATGGAGAGACGATGAGAGTCAAAGGCCTCAGAGAAGCAGTTCAGATACAACCGACCCTCGGCTAAGCCCCTCCCCCAACGCACACTGTACATTCCTACGTTAGTAACCGTAACTAGGGACCAGAGGCCTTTAGAGGGTTGATGTCACTTATGGATTAAACACGTGGAAGACTGAATCCATCAACGATCAATAAAAACTCCTTTGTTTGCTCCGAGGTAAGATGCTAATGACGTTAGCTAGCTTAGCATGACAGTCGAACATTAATTATTCTCATTAATGTGTAACAAACATAAATCTGTCACGCAGGAGATACTTGTTTGTTCCTGGTGTGAAACAACAAGTACAACTTTGTCTCGTGACTTCAGTACTTTAAATTAGTTATTTTAACGCTAACTAATATTTATTCCTAAACTCTGGTAGTTTTGTTGATTGAACTTAACCAAGTATTTCATCATCTTTAACCTAAATGTGCTTCTGATGAAGACACAAGCGTATTTAGTAAAAGTCTGTAT